CCGGGACTCCAGGATCATGACCTGAGCCGAAAGCAGTCGCTTAACCAACTGAGCCACCCAGGCGCCCTAGGACCCATTTTAAAAAGAGTAATCTAATTAAGACAGAAATCACAAAATTTGAAACATAAACATTTTGAGCTATAAGAATCAGGATACACTTTTTTTTTTTAAGATTTTATTTATTTGACAGAGAGACACAGTGAGAGAGGGAACACAAGCAGGGGGAGTGGGAGAGGGAGAAGCAGGCTTCCCACGGAGCAGGGAATCTGATGCGGGGCTTGATCCCAGGACCCTGGGATCATGACCTGAGCCAAAGGCAGATGCTTAATGACTGAGCCACCCAGGCACCCCCAGGATACACTTTTTTTGACCTTAAGCTAAATATGATCAACAAGATTCCTAGTTATATGTGATTTTATCTGCATTCTCACACCTGATCCATCTCCAACATCCATTTTATCCTTAATCCCTAGCCTGGGAAGAGAGATAAAGAGATGGAATGATCTTCAGAAGAGCTCTTGGATGGACGAAGAATGCCTGCATCCCAAATCACTGGGTTTAGAAAAAGGTTGAAGTTTCACAATGTGTCAAGCAGTAATACAGCTGTATCAAAGAGGCTGCCATCAAAATGTTTTGTACATATGATCATATGATGAATCACGTCTTTTTTGTCTACCTATTAAAGTTACTAATTCTATAAGATCCAATTCAAATCTCAATTTAATGAATATTCTTCCCATGTTCCCCAGTCTCAATCTTTCCTTCCCCATATCCCCATGGCACTTTATTTATCCCTCTATTATAGTGCTTAAAGCAACTTGCTACTTTAAGATTATAGTCATTTTTGTATCTCCCAGAATACCTGGCCTAGTATCCTGCACATCCAATAAATACTTATTAATATTTCTTTAGTGGTTCTTGAAAGTCTGTCTCAACAGAAATGTTTCCTGAAATTCTGGTGAACTACAAATCCTAATATCCAGTTGGCACATTTGAGCATAAGGCATTTACTGCTTTTTCTTTTTTAAAGATTTTATCTATTTATTTGACAGAGAGAGAGACAGTGAGAGAGGGAACACAAGCAGGGGGAGTGGGAAAGGGAGAAACAGGCTTCCTGCTGAGCAGGGAAGCCCAGTGATCCCAGGACCCTGGGATCAGGACCTGAGCCGAAGGCAGAAGCTTAACGACTGAGCCACCCAGGTGCCCCAAGGCATTTACTGTTTATACTTCTCATGTCATTAACTGTATAAAAACTAGCTATTGAGATGTCAATATTCTTAAGGACAGACATCATCATGTCTTATTCTTAAAACACCTAGTGTATTACCCTGTGAGGCAAATCTAGTACCTGACATGCTGAGCAAAGGGGCACTACATAGCATCAACTAAGAAACGCTAGACAAAAGCAGCCCTTAATCCTACATGTATTCTCAAGTCTTCCAAGGTTAAAGAGAAAGGGGAAAAGGCCAGTCAATTATGGAAGTCTATAACCAATTTTTCCTAATTGCCTGCTAAATGTCAGGCCTATATATATACCTGAAAAAGATAAGGTCCCTGCCCCTATGGAGCACATGGCCTCTTAAAGGATCCTTTTACCTTAGTAGATATCATATGACTTACACTTCAGAAGATTTCTCCAGTGTTTCAACACTTTGTTAACTGTGATATACTACAACATGAAATTCCATGCACAGCATCTAAAATCCCATGTAATCATAGCAAATGATAATAAGGTTCTAAGGTATATTATATGAACTAGAAAAATGTGTATTTAAATATATATTTTCTGGGGGCGCCTGGGTGGCTCAGTCGTTAAGCATCTGCCTTCAGCTCAGGTCATGATCCCAGGGTCCTGGAATCAAGCCCTGCATCGGGCTCCCTGCTCCACGAGAAGACTGCTTCTCCCTCTCCCACTCCCCCAGCTCGTGTTCCCTCTCTCACTGTCAAAATAAAATAAAATATTTAAATATATATATATTTTCTGTTATGCAAGTGGACATTATCATACATAAGTCATTTATTTCACTTTGGATTTAAAAAATGAATTTAACTAACAAAGACAAGGTACAACATTACTCTTGAATTTAAAAAGTCAGCTTCTAGGGTTGCCTGGGTGGCTCAGTCGGTTAAAAATTAGTCGGCTTCTGATCTAATCCACTATTATGACCCAAAATGAGATTCTTTGCTATGAAATAGATATCTTACTGCCCACCCCTTTATAATGCAAGCATTTTGCTGATGTACTGGTTAAAATTACATTGGTTTTGGGGCGCCTGGGTGGCTCAGTCAGCTAAGCATATGTCTTCAGCTCAGGTCATGATCTCAGGGTCCTGGGATCAAGCCCCACATCAGGCTCTCTGCTCAGGGGCGAGTCTGCTTCTTCCTCTCCCCCTGTGAACTCCTTCACTTTCGCTCTCTCTCAAATAAATAAATAAAATCTTTTTTAAAAAAATTACATTGGGGGCACCTGGGTGGCTCAGTTGGTTAAGCGACTGCCTTTGGCTCAGGTCATGGTCCTAGAGTCCTGGGATCGAGTCCCACATCAGGCTCCCTGCTCGGCGGGGAGTCTGCTTCACCCTCTGACTGTCTCCCCTCTCATGCTCTCTCAAATAAATAAATAAAATCTTTAAAAAAAAAAAATTACATTGGTTTTTTTTATTCATTTTAAATCTTTAATTTATTCTGACTTTACATTATATCATTGTTCCACATCAAGGGAGAAAGTAGCCTCAAAACATTAAGGCTTAAGTACATCTAATTTATAAAACACCTAAATGAGATTTTATTTATTTATTAAAGATTTTATTTATTTATTTGAGAGAGAGAGAGTGTACAGAGGGAGAGTGAGAAGCAGACTCCCTGCTGAGCAGAGAGCCCGATGCCTGAGATCATGACCTGAGCTGAATGAAGGCAGACGCTTAACTGACTGAGCCATCCAGGTGCCCCTAAATGAAATTTTTTTAAATGAGAAAAAATATTAATGTTACATTTCTTCTAGATAGTATAATATTCCAAATTATTTATTTTCTAAGTGGTATGTAATTATGTGTCTACTACTCCTTGGATTATTTTTGCTCTTTATCTTTTAAGTGGTATGGAGTTAGGTAAATTTATATATAATCTAAAACTTACTTAGTCATATTTAGTCCAAATTTTACTTCAAGGAATTTCAGCATGTGCCCATTTTCTTTGTGTGGGACAAACATCTGGAAGAAAAAAGCACTAGTTACAACAAAGAACTATTAGCTATGCTCACAGCAATATGTTTCTGTCTAGAAAGAGAAAACACAGCAGGACTATTAAATAAAAAATACAAATTAAAAATGAATTAAATAATACTTGGTATAACTACGAAGCAAGAAGATCTACTGACCTAAGTCAATCACATTACCTTATAGTTAATCATAAAACTATAATGGGGTAGTAAGATTTCCACGTACCCTGCATGACTTAAGTAACTTACCCACTCTTTTTTTTTAGATTTTATTTATTTATTTGACAGAGAGAGACACAGCGAGAGAGGGAACACAAGCTGGGGGAGTGGGAGAGGGAAAAGCAGGCTTCCCGCAGAGCAGGGAGCCCAATGCGGGGCTCGATCCCAGGACCATGACCTGAGCCGAAGGCAGACGCTTAACGACTGAGCCACCCAGGCACTCTGAGTAACTTACCCACTCTTTTCAAAACTTCTACTCGTCTCAATTTACTAAATTACTTAATGTTAATTAATTGGGTAATGATGACATTTTAAAATAAATGGAAAATAAAGTGTATCTTTTAAGTATATCTAGAAAAGAATTAGAATCCTATTTTTCCTGTAAGTATGATCATTGTTCAACTCAAAATTTTACCGTACAAACTCTATTATTTTGCTATCTCATTATTCTCATTAAAATTTAGGCCAGTATATTTCATTATCCAACTCACTCTACTACATGAATCTCACCAGCAGAGTTATTTACCTTCATTATAATATTCAGTGTCACTGTCAGAGTACACACCAAGTAAAAATTAATCACTTTCATTATTTTAGCTATACAAGTTCCTTTCTTCACATTCAGCTGTGGGGGGAAAAATCATGAACAAAGAAGTGAGGTATAAAAAATTAACAATTAAAAAATTCACTGCAAGAATGATAAAAAGGCAATTCTCTTTACCTGAAGGCACTTAGCAAGTATTAAGGCCACTACTAAACTTAATAAAGGAGATACCAATAAAGCTGAATTCTCAAACTGCAGTAAATATCCCAGAAAGAGAGAAAATATATAGATTTTATAAACTTCATGAACCTGTTGGGACAAAATAAGATAAATGAGAATAAAATGAATTTTATTTGTACATCTTTTCATTAGTTTTATTTAGAACAGATTTGACTCCAATTATAAAATAAATACCCAATTATAATTTAGGATAGTATCCTACAAATGTTCAATCTGTATTTTTAATGTTATGGTATATAACGAATTTATTACTTTCATAAACAAAGTAAAAAGTTTTAAAACCATGGACATCTAAATCAGCCTGAATGTACCTGCTTTCACCCTGATTTAATTTTACTTTGCTTGCCCTGTTACTAAAATCCATCCATACAACATCAAACTGCATAAATCAAAAATTAATCTTTAGCAGCAGTTCCGAAAACCTACCTAGTGAAAACATACTGCCATGAAATGTAGCACCAGAGACAAGTATTTTTAGATTTGGTCCATTTAAAAGTGAGCATAAGAAAGTTAAATTCAATGTCCTAATAGATGATCTCCCAGGAAAGTCACATGTCTTAGAAGATTTCTTTTCTAAAATTCAGTAATATAATTTAATCTATCATAAGATTAATTCCTTTTGGAAAGGGAAAACTAAGACAAAATATAGGCATTAGTTAGAGGGGAAAATCAAAGGCAGAGTGGTAAAGGTAAGAAAAAAAAAGAAAGAAAGCAAAGAAAAACAATGAAAAATATCCCCAAGAGGCCAGAGCCATTAAGAAAAGAAATACCTTACTGTTGGGAGGCTGAAACAAGGACTGGGAGAGGGCACAATGGGATCTTCCAGGTGCTGCAAATTTTCTATTTCCTGATTTTGGATACTGGTTCTGCAGATGTCTGCCAGTTACTGAGTGACTGTCTCTTAGTCCCAACCTGTCCCTCTACTCCCTGCCTTGTAACGCTGGGGCTGGAGATTTTGCAATCTATGTTTCTGCTTTTCCAGTTGGCTCACTATTAAACTCTGTCAATATGAAATGCTAGAGAGAGATTACAAGGTTGGGGGAGAAAGGAGGAGCTGGTGGCCTCCTGTCTGCTTTGCAGTTCCTGTGAGTATCCTATCCGCAGTATCCTATCGGCAGTACTTCTTCACTCCGACAGAGCAATTCCTTCTAGTTGAAGCAGCTGAATGCAGGTGCAGTTTGTCCAACACTTGAAGAACCAGCTTTATCACATTCTCTTGCCCCCGAGACCCCAGGGCCAGTTAGCCAGAGCCCCATTCACAGAGGTCTGGGTTCCATTTCCATGGGGCCCTTCTTTCCAGTTCAGACACACCAGCAAAGCTGGGCAGTGGCCCTGCATTAGAAGTCTGAGTTTCAGCTCCACAGGGGTCCCTCCTCTAAGTTTTGAAGGGTTTTTTTGTTTTTTTTTAAGATTTTATTTACTTATTTGACAGAGAGAGACACAGCGAGAGAGGGAACACAAGCAGGGGGAGTGGGAGAGGGAGAAACAGGCTTCCTGCTGATCAGGGAGCCCAATGCTGGGCTCGATCCCAGAACCCTGGGATCACGACCTGAACCGAAGGCAGACGCTTTAACGACTGAGCCACCCAGGCGCCCCGAAGTTTTGAAGTTTTAATAATTCCAAATTCTCCCCTTTGCTCCCTCAGCTCTGGTGGTGGTAGCTGCTTCCTGCAAACTGCTACCTCTATGATACTTTTGGGTTCTTACTACCCTTTCAATTAACAAGATAATGACATTATATTTGATTAATGATTCTTTATGTTCAATTCTCTCTATTCAATTAACCTAAATGTTTGTACTCATCAGGATTCTGGATCATCTAAATATACAGGATAAAGAAAAGAAAGAGCAAGAAGATCCCCAAATTTCTGGGGCGCCTGGGTGGCTCAGTCGGCTAAGCGTCTGCCTTTGGCTCAGGTCCTGATCCCAGGACCTGACCCCCCGTCGGGCTCCCTGCTCAGCGGGAAGCCTGTTTCTCCCTCTGCCCCTCCCCCCTGCTCATGCTTTCTCTCTCTCTCTAAAAGAAATAAATAAAATCTTTAAAAAAAAAAAAGAAGATCCCCAAATTTCTGGCTTGGACAACATATTAAATACTTAATAAATGTTTATAAATGAAAGAAAGATGAGAGAGGGGTGAAAAAGAAAAAGATAAAGAAAGGAACCAAATGCTGATGGCACTTATATAAACTGCTATAACCATTCTGGACAAAGGCTTAGTATTTAGTTAGGTTGAATATGCACATATCCTTTGACTTGTAATTCCACTATGAGATATATACTCTAGAGAAATCTTGCACTTAGTGCCAGGTAAGAATGTTTACGGCAGCACTGGTTATACGGACAATAAGCTGGAAAAAATGAAGTGTCCATTAACAATAAAATGTATAAATAAATAAAAGTGAATGAAATTAGCTCTGTACCTCATCATGAGTGAATCTCAAAAGCAAATCAGATAAAAGTAAACAATACATTGTTTACAGCATATTTTTTAAGGACTATCTAGATAAGTGGTAAAACCCATAAAGAAACAGGGGAAAGGAGTAACAAAATTCAGGACAGCAAGCCTCTGCTGGGGAGGGAGCAGGATGCGACTGGGAATATTAAGAGAGGGACTTCTGGGTATTCCAATGTTCCATTTCTTGGCCTGGATGGTCAAATACTCATATTTTATTCTGCACGGTATATATACACAGCATACATATACTTTTTTGTGCATGTTCTATATTTCACTCTTTTTCTTTTTTAAAGAAATAGAAAGGGAAGGCGCAAGGGCTAGAAATGGAGAAGAAGCACATGGTTGACTGGTTAAGCAGACCTTCTTTAAGGGAATTTCAAAGTGTTTCTAAAAGGGCAGGGAGAATGAGTTTAGCAATCTTTTGCGTAGAATTATAAGTCAGGGCCTATTAAAATATTTCAAAATAAAGCTTAGAAGCTAAATGATCTTAAGATACAACACTATAAAAACATTTATTCTCTGGATTTAAAATCACAACTGCAAAATTCAAAATACCTTGTCACTTTGCTCCAGTGAAAAGCTATCTAGCAAGAACAGAGATGCCGCCTGAAGAAATAAGAGATAGTGGCTGTACTCCCACATCATCATAAACGTGTAAGTTGAAGCGCTCATCAACAAGCAGCAAAACCTCTAGGGAAAACAAAAGAAAGAAACTAAGTATCAGTAGCTTTATTACTATAGAAATCTATGAGGTTGTTACCTCAAAGTTGAAGCTCTGTTACTGGTTTTACTTTAAGCTATATAATTCTAGAAACTTCTTTTTTAAGTTACATAATTATTGCTAAACCCTTACGTAAACAATAAGATCTTCAATAAAGCACACAGACAGAAATGAACCACTTGTCCTTTAAAGTTCAACATCATATTGAGAATTTCAGGATGACAAAGGGAAAAAATTCAGTACACTTTCATCTCAAAAGAGGTAAAGTAATAAGCATAAGAAAATGGTGGCTTTTTCTAGACTTGGCTGATGGGCTTTTGTTATTGTGAAAGTAACTCCATTCACCCTAGAAAATATTTTCACTTCTGTGGTGCTTCATATTTCCCTAAGAGTTTCCATTTAAATAGTCTGTTTACATCTCAGCCTATTACACAGTCCATGGAAAAAAGCCCAGTGCTTTTTTTATTGCTTCTCAGCGAAAGCGTGCCTTACCTTTCCCCAGTGCTTATACTGTCAACCATGTAAAACTCTCTTTTCCTTTGCTAAGGTACTAAACACAAGGACTTCTTGCCCTTGCCTGGAAAGTACTTGGCTGAAATAATTTCTGTCCTTCCAAATGTCATCTCTCAAGTGATCCCTTAGTGAGAAACCAAGTCTGACAAATCCACTGTTCCTTAGTATATTTCTCACAACCTCTACTTCCTCCAGGGATCTGCATTTTTATTCCCAATTTTTCCACCAGCCATGATGTCAAATGACTTTGCTCTGATAAGAATAGCAAAGGAGAAAGGCAATAAGGGTCTAGTCAAACCTGAGATAACAACCATACTCTCTAAAATTTAATCTTTCAGACTCAGCTGACTATACTCAATGATAAATTTCGGAGTCAGAAATACCTCAGGCCATCAGCAGATATAAGGATTTTCCAGCACCCTGAATAAGATTAAGACCAGAGAATAAAATGTAAGAGATGGAAAAATTCTACCAGTTGGTCAAAGAATAAATACCAACTGCCAGGCCCAGAAGAGCTTAGCACTGACAGAACACATAGCTTCTGCTCTTCATATCACCACAGCTATAAGAGAAAGTGTTCTGGAAACTTCTAATGTGGAACAACCAGAACTGTAATAACAAGGCCTGAAACCATCATCCTCAGAGAAACCAGTTCCAGAAATCAATGAAGGCTCAGATCTAGATCCAGCCTAATTAATCTACTAGACATGTGGATATTACTTCAAGGATACTAGGGAAAAAACTACAGTATAATGAAGCAAATTGCTAATTCCAAGGGTTTATTCTCAACTACTCTAAAGAACATGCAGTGAGATAAGACAGAAATATATGTCAAACACAATCTGGACAATTAGCTATGTTTTTCCTTTCTAGCTTTGTTCCTTTGAACATTTTCAAAAATCTGTGCACTCTTATCTACCCCTTACCTTGCTCACTTCATTTTCAACTGTCTTTATTGTGAACTATTTTATACATATTACCTGACACATTAAACGTGTTTCAGTAATCAACCACAGATGTCCCTAGATGGTTCCAGATAACTGCACAAAATATCTGAGCTTCAATATCTTTATGCAACTGGGACCACAAGATCTAGCCTCAAGAATGGGAAGCAAACTAAAAAATATGTGACTGAAATACACATATTGCTGGGGCGCCTGGGTGGCTCAGTCATTAAGCGTCTGCCTTTGGCTCAGGTCATGATCCCAGGGTTCTGGGATCGAGCCCTGTATCGGGTTCCCTGCTTGGCAGGAAGCCTGCTTCTCCCTCTTCCACTTCCCCTGCTTGTGTTCCTGCTCTCGCTATCTTTCTCTCTGTCAAATAAATAAATAAAATCTTTAAAAATAATAATAAAATAAAATAAAATACACATATTGCTGTAATACTACTCAGCAATGAAAACAAGCAAATTATTGATAGAAAGCAACAATTCAGATGGATGTCAAGGGCATTAGGCTAAATGAAAAAAGCCAGTCTTGAAGGATAACATACTATATAATTCGATTTGTATAACCTTTCAAAATGACAAAGTCATAGTGATAGAGAACAGAGCAGTGGTTGCCAGAAAAACAGAAAAGAGAAAATAGGCAGTGCTACCATAAAAGTTAACATTACTGCCATTTGTAGTCACTCTTTGTATCTTCATTAATATTTCCTTATTTGCAATGACTAAAAGCCATCAATATTACAGAAAATGGTAAATTAATGAGACTAATTTTCAAAATAATATATTCTTCATATATTTTTGTCAAGTAATTGCACTGAAACAATATAACATCTTTTTCCTTAAAATAATTTACCATCTATCAGACTCGACTAACAGTGTTATATAATAGGACTACCTAAATATATTCTTTATAGATGTAGTAATTAGGCTTCACCGATTATAACTTAACTGTTTAATATGATTAACTTTAAAATTTTATACCACATTTGCAACACATCAAAATTAACTGTGACAAATAAATTTGTATCTTACCTCTCCATAAGTATTTAAGTTGCTTTTTAAATAGCCTGTAAGTGCAGCAATTTGGCATGCGAAATATGGTAGTGCCCAGTTTTCTCTTAAAGGAATGGAGTATTCAATTCTTGTTGTATCTACCCTAAAGTAAACCACAGACGAACAGCAAAATAGCAAGACATGATATTTGTGTAATACAAAACTTTTCAAAGCACTTTCACACAATCTCATTGTTCTCTATACCAATCCTGTGAGGTAAGAACAGACAGCCGCCACTGTCTATACAGCATCTTTGAGCAAATTAAGCATCTCATGCAGCCCCCAGTCCCTCCATTCCAGGAAGACTCAGCGCTGCTGTGTACTGCTTGGTGAATTAGCGGGCCTCTATGAAAATTTGAAAAAGGCACCCCTGCTCTGAGCAGATACATCTGATGTTAGGGCACATAGCTTGTGGCAGAGGACACTGGATTTCAGCTCCCACTCTCTCTTCCCTCAATGAGATGGCTACCCTTCTCTAGAGTACAATCTGCATTACATAATTAGCAGGACTGACAGAGACCCAAAGTTCCTATCCTCCCTTATTTAAAGAATATGAATCTCAGAGAGGTGACACGACTTAATCAAGGTCATACAGCTAATAGGTGGTGCAACTGGGATTACAATGCATATCTTCTGATATCTAGTTTAATAATCTTTTCAATCAGCAGGTCCTGGAATTACCGTTACAGTAGACCTTCATGTGATATATCCAGAAACCTTTAAAAATTCCCACAATCACAAATACAGAATGTCTTTCCAGGCTCTTCCTAAGTTTCTCCTCAATTTGCATTGACAGCAGGTTGTCTCCTGTACATATCCTCACACCTCAAGAAGACCACCTTTCCTACAATCATTACATTTGGAATTCATACACTCAATAGCTCTTTTCCACACAGAAACAAAGGTACTACTGCCTTACAAATTTTATGAAAATTGCTGTATAACTCTCCTAAATCATGGAGAGGAATATATTTGCATGTAATTTAGTTCAACTGAATTATGGTACAGGATATTACTTAGCAATGACAAGGAATGAACTATTGATATGCCCAACATACATGAATCTCAAAATAATTATGCTGAGTGAAAAGAAAGACCAAAAAAGTATATGCTGTAGGACTCCATTATATAAAATTCTAGGGGCGCCTGGGTGGCTCAGTCATTGAGCGTCTGCCTTCGGCTGACCCCAGGGTCCTGGGATCGAGCCCCGCATCGGGCTCCCTGCTCAGTGGGAGGCCTGCTTCTCCCTCTCCTGCTCCCCCTGCTTGTGTTCCTTCTCTCACTGTGTCTCTCTCTGTCAAATGAATAAATAAAATCTTTAAAAAATAAAACAAGATAAAATTCTAGAAAATGCAAACTAATTTATAATGACAGAAAGTAGATCACTGGCTTCCTGGGGACAATGGGACAGTTAGTAGAGGTGGGGGGAAAAGAGGAAAGAAGGAAGCATTACCAGGGGGGAGCAAAGAAACTTTTGGGGGTGACAGATGTTTATTATATTGATTTTGTTGATGGTTTCATGAGTGTATCTAAATGCCTGAACTGATCAAATTGTACACTTTAAATATACACATTTTATGTCAGTTATACCTCAATAAAACTGTTAAAAAGTATTATAAGAAAACCTGTCTTCTACGAATGTATATGTGATTGAATATATATATATACAAAAAAACAGGATCATACATGAAGAGCAAATGAAATAAAAGCTGTAAAGAACTTAGTAGTGTGTCTACAACCTAGTGAACGATATTAGATCTTGGCTCTTTTATAATTCTGTAATGAACTACTTTTCACTTAATGATATATTATGAGCATCTTTCCATAACATATGTATCCATAAATACACTTCAAGAATATTTAATGGTCCGGGGCGCCTGGGTGGCTCAGTCGTTAAGCGTCTGCCTTTGGCTCAGGTCATGGTCCCAGGGTCCTGGGATCGAGCCCCGCATCGGGCTCCCTGCTCGGCGGGAAGCCTGCTTCTCCCTCTCCCACTCTCCCTGCTTGTGTTCCCTCTCTCGCTGTCTCTCTCTGTCAAATAAATAAATAAAATCTTTAAAAAAAAAAAAAAAAGAATATTTAATGGTCACGGCACATCATGGTAGAGATTTATCATACTCTAACTAATTTCTATTGTTATACACTTAAAGTGTTTCTGATGCTACCTTTTGCAAAGATTTTTAAAACATGAACCAATGTTGGCAGCTCATTCTGCCCACAGGTCCTGTCCCCGTGCTTTAATAAAATCACCTTTTTGCACCAAAAACAACAACAAAAAACATGAACCAATGTTTCTGTATAGTAATTACTGGTTTCACTGTTTACTTTTTTTTTATTTTACAGTTAAGACTTTTTTTTAAGATTTTATTTATTTGAGAGAGAGAGAGAATATGGGGGGGAGGGGCAGAGGGAGACACAGACTTCCCGCTGTGCAGGGAGCCCAATGCGGAACTCGATCCCAGGACCCTGGGATCATGACCTGGGCCGAAGGCAGATGCCCAACTGACTGAGCCACCCAGGTGCCCCTCACTGTTTACTTTCAATGCTAATCCGTTTGGAGTTTATTTTAGTATTTGAGCAATAAGGTTTATTTTCCAGATTACTGTCCCAATACCATCAACTGAACATCAAGTATTCTAAAGACCATGTATTTTCATATAATATCCCTGAAAAATTATGAAAGTTAATAAAGACAAATAAGAGATTCAAGTGTCATGAGGCAGGAAGTGGGGAGGAAAGAGAGAATATCTATTCTCAATTCAGGACTCCACCAGCCACTCCATCAGCCCAGAATTGGGAAGCTGGACCCGGCACTCACCTTTCTGAAGGTGGACTCACTAACCCTGCCCAAGTCACAGATCAGTGCAGGGAAATCTTTACAACTCTGCACTGGAGAAAGGAAGTCATTGCAACACAAACTGAGTAAGATCTCTGTCAGTTATTCTCTTCACCTGGTCAGGCCTTCCCATTGCTACCTTCCTGAACACCTGAGCTACTCTCTCTTGCCTTCATCACGCTTGGTGGTTGTGAGGAACAGAAGGCTAATGGTAGGAAGGGACAAAATCAAATGAGACCCCCTTTTTCTCCCCAGTGGCAGAGTCTAGCAGCAGCACAAACCAGCAGTTCAAAATAACTAGTTAAATCACCTAGGGTTCATAGGCCTATAGATATATTCACAGAGATTAGCAAGCTCTGAGTTTAATTTTGAGTTTTCATTTTTTTTAAAAGTATTCTCTACACCCAACGTGGGGCTTGAACTCACAACCCCAAGATCAAGAGTCACAGGCTCTACTGACTGAGCCAGCCAGGAGCCCCCTGAGTTTTCATTTTAGACACATCATAACATAAGCATAATCTGGATCGTCTGGATGACCACCTTGTAATTCACTGTTGCCAAAAGATTTCAGTGCTCACTTCCATGTTGTGTTAACAATCTAGTTGGCAACATAGGACTAGTTCAATCAGCTTGAGTTAATCAGGAAAAATAGATGATTCTAATACCAAATGATGTACTGCCAAATAAAAACAAAATGATATCCTGATCACTGTGGTATAAAGAGATTTCAGAGTGCACTGAGGAGAGCAACATGATGAAAAGTGAGTCATCTCACAATACCCACCTGTGCAGGTGCGCCACACTCAAAAAAGAACCTGCTGGAAGGGTACTTTATTTATGCTGAGAGCAGAAATCTGGCTTTAGCAAAATACCATTTTCACATTAAATTCATCTTTTTTTTTTTAATCATGACCTGAGCCGAAGGCAGACGCTTAACCGTCTGAGCCACCCAGGTGCCCTAAATTCATCTTTTCAGTTACTATTTTCCTGGTTGCTTATTTCATTAGTAAATTGGTTTCGGTTTTATAGTAGCGTAAGCATTCAGAGCATTACCTAGTTTCATTTTATATGTAAACAGCATTATAATTCAAATTATTTAAGTCAATACATGGAACCCATGAAAATACAGAACTGAAGTTTGAGAAATGTTGAGCTGGGTAACATATAAAACACTTTGGCATATGAATGTATAATGTGTGAAAGTTGAAAAACATTTACCCAGTATCAGTACAACTTCTGATGGCAGCATATTGCCTTGCACTGATGTATTACAATTTACCTAACCATTCTCTTATATTTAGATGGTTTTCTAATTTTTTGTATTATTGTCCTTTTCTGGATTACTGCCTTGCAATAAAATGGAATTCCTACGAAAGGAATTCCACCTAAAATTGAAAAAGCTTACACCTGCATGAGCATTCTGAGTATATCAGTAGCATCACACCAGAACCAGCATGGTGTGTCACCATTATTTTGTTAGCTATACCTCTAGGACATGTGCATTTCCTTGCATCTTACCTCTTTATTATTACCAATGTACAATTATTTGGGGGGGGCAAAGACTAACTTTATTTTTTTTAAAGATTTTATTTATTTGAGAGAGAGAGTGCGTCGGTGAGAAAGCGAGAGCAGGAGCAGGGGGGGAGGGCCAGAGGCAGAGGGAGAAGCAGGCTCCCCACTGAGCAGGGAGCCCAAGGGGGGGGCTCGACCCCAGGGCTCTGAGATCATAACCTGAGCAGAAGCAGACACTTAACCGACTGAGCCACCCAGGCGTCCCCAAAGACTAACTTTAATATACACTTTTAATCACACACACTTCTTTCTTTGCCCTTCAAATACAAAGATGTTTCCACTGAAGTGATAGCCAGGTATATATTTGTAGATGAGAAGATCAGTAGGGACTATTCCATATTGTTTATATGTGAAGCCTGGTCTCAGTTCAGCCCATTTTGGTGATACATCTGTTATAAGAGAGTCATTCGCCCCTGATTTTTTCACCCACTACTGTCTATACAGTGCTGTTTCCTAAAATTTCCTTGCATTTTCTAGTATGCCTATGTCTTTTGGTTTTACAATCCTGCTTTCCCCTTCTGGTATTAAGGAATATGTAACAAAAAATACAGTTAGCAACACTAATAATCATAATATAATGGAACGGACTAGTATCTTTTTATACTTTTCTAAGCATTCATATATAACTCTAAAGCTGGTAAATAGTGGTGCCTGGGTGGCTCAGTTGGTTGGTTTTGGCTCAGGTCGTGATCTCA